TTCCTTTCCCTCTTTTCCTTTCCCCTTCCCCCCCTTCACTCCTTCATCTTTGGACCTTTTTTCCTATTTCAAATTATCAGTTAATCATTTTAATCATTTTAACCCTTGTTTATACTATCAGTTTCTCAAGCTAGAGAAACTATTTGGTATTTACACGTGTGTCCTATTTATTTCACTTAAGAGTATCGCCTCGATATGCATCCATTTAGCTATAAATGACTCTAGTTTGTCGTTCTTTATGGCTGAGTAGTACTCCATTTTATAAAAAAAACCCATCTTCTTTATCCAGTTTCCAGTTGATGGGTATTTGAGCTATTTCCAACCTTTAGCTATTACACACTGTGCCACTGTAAACATGGGTGCACATATATCACTGTGGTATGATTCTTTTAATTCTTTTGGGCAGATCCCCAGCAGGGGAATAGCTAGGTCAAATGGGACCTCTAGCCCTAGTTCTTTGAGGTATCTCCATACTGACTTCCACAGTGGTTGCACCAGTCTGCACTCCCACCAGCAATGGAGAAGGGTTCCTTTCTCTCCACAGCCCCGCCAGCATTTGTTATTGGTTGATTTCTTGATAGCAGCCCTTCTTTCTGGGGTGAGGTGGAATCTCAGTGTTGTTTTCATCTGCATCTCTCGAATGACCAGTGATGTTGAACATTTTTTCATATATTTGTTTGCTGCTTTTACTTTGTCTGAGAAATAAATGTCTGTACATTTCAGATGCCCAGTTTTGAATTGGGTCTTTGAATTTGGGGGGTCTGATTTTTTTCAATTCTTTATATACTCTAGATAGTAGTCCTCTGTCTGAGACCTGTATGATATTTTAAATGGATTTTTTTAACTATAAAGAAGTTTGTCCCGGGTCTGTTCTAGCAGATTCTTAAGTTTACAAAGCTAGGGAACAATCATGCCCATGAAACTGATTTTGAGCCCTGAGTGGATTTGGAGCTTTGTGGATTTTTTTGTTGTTGTTATTTAAATCTTTTGTCTGGCTTTCTAAGGAGTTTTTTTTTTTTTTTGTCCTTTTGAAAAATTAATAACAAACATGAAATAACTTGTATTAGAATAATTTGTTGAGGGGCGGGGATTTAGCTCAGTGGTTCCACCTGCTGCACAAGGTCCCAAGTTCGATCCCTGGTACCCAAAAAAAAAAAAAAAAGAATAATTTCTTAAAATTTTGGTTTTTGATGTTATATTTGTGCCAAGAATAAAACCACCAAGATACTAACCCACTATGCACAAAGATTTTTCTACCCACTGTGGCAAAGGTCTGCAACAAGGAAAAGTAAATTATATCAACTTTCTTTTTTATTTTAAGGCTTTCTCATAGCACAGGTGACTATTTACAAGGCTAGTTTCGGTATATTTTAGTCCAGTAGTTCTTTGTGTCTGTTCTCCTCCAACTTTATGTTCTGTAACACAAAACTCTGATTCTTTGAACTTACTCAGAACCTAGTGGCAGGTTGCACACTTCACACACTTCCTAAGGCTGAGAGGCGTCCTTAGCCAGGTGTACGCGCGCGCGCGCGCGCGCGCGCACACACACACACACACACTCACTCATGCTCCCAGTTTAGTGGCACTGGACTGTGGGGAACTTTCCCCTCTCCACCCTCACCCCATGTGTGTACTTTAAGTTAATCCTCGGTGTCGAAATGATCTCTTGCTCCTGGACTGCTGCTGGGAAATAACTTGAGGGATGAGGTGGCAAATTGGTATTATTTGCCTTAGATCCATTTTAAGCGTGAAAGTTAGAGGGCGTGGTGGCAAACAGCCTTAATCCCAGCACTAGGGAGCCTGAGGCTGGAGGATCCTGTGAGTTCCAGGACAGCCTGGGCTACATAGAGAGACCCTGTCCAAAAAAAAGGGTAGAAGTTAGACATTGAAAAATGACAACTAAAGTTTTGATGAATATAAAGACTAAAATAATCTGATACATAATTGACTTTGTAACATTTAATACCTGGATTTTAAATGTGTTAACTTTTAGATTCTTCAGACCATTTATTTGCTCATGGTAGTTTTGGTTAATATATTGTTAATAAAAACGTGTGTCATCCATGGCGTGTCATATGACTGTATAAAAATTTAAATTAGGGAGAAGCTTGACTTATGTGGAGTCTGCTAGCTAACTGGAGTTTTTTTCCATACCACGCTTTGTTCATTGTTGGTTTTGGGGATCTTTCTGAAACAAATCACATCCTCTGGTGTCTTGTTGGTGCTTGAGATGCTTTTTTAAGTTATATGGAAAAATGTTTAAGTGCTTTTCAGTTTTGTTTTGGTTGAGTTCTACTGTATTTGAATATTATTGTAATTTTTTTCCTTTGCATTGTTCTTCTTTGAATGGTTTTAATTTTTGTATGTGTATGTGTTTGATAATAAAGTTATTTTTTTTAAAAAGTAACCAACCAGACACAGTAGCACATGCCTATAATCCCAGCTCTCTGAGAGAGTGAGACAGGATGACTGCAGTTTAGTGACCTAGCAAGACTGTCTCAAAATTGAAAAGGGTTTGAGGATGTAACTACTCAGTGGGCTCAGTCCAAAGGCCCTGGGTTTAATCCCCAGTACCACCGCCAAAAAAATAAAATAAAGTAGACCTCTTTATTTTCAGCTGTTTCCCCAGTCTCCTTTTGGAATCTGTGTAGACATCCCCTACACTACCAAAACTCCACAAAGCATGTCGTACATAGTACCTTGATAAATTTATCGTTTTATCCCCAAAATAATTCTTTGAAAGTTAGAAAGTTGCACATCATGTGAATGTACAGTAGCCTGTGCTCTTTATTAGCTAAGGTGTATTTCTTATTGGATTTACAATGACAAATTATCTTCAAATTATTTTGAAGGGAATTTAACATGATTGTGGCTAATCCCTTACTGCCCTCAACAACAAAAAAATTAGAATCTTTCTAACATTTAGGTTTGGTTACTTTCTTTTAATAGTTTAACTGTGGTGGTCCTTGGTTTTCTTTGTTTTGTTCTGTTTTGTTTTTGTTTTTTGAGACAGGATCTCACTATGTAGTTCAGGCTGGCCTTGAACTCACTGTGTAGCCCACCCAGGCTGACCCTTGGTATCTTTAAATGATGACATAGAGTATTGGTATTAAAGTAAATGAATTTGCTTATGAAAAGGAAAGTTCTTATCCATCTGCTGTTTTCAAAGCCAGACTTTCTGTGCATGCATTTTGCTGGAATTCTTTCTTTCTATTCAGGTGATTTATCTCAAGTGTAAATGGATGAGCTATTTGCATTCCCATCCAGGTTACATAAGGAAAGGTTATGTGAACCACTAAGGAAAATCTCCCTTCTTAAAAAAAGGTTGTTCCATGGCTGGGGATGTAGCTCAGTGGTGCTGCACCTGCCTGGCAAGGGCAAGGTCTGGAGTTTGATCCCGGTACCAAAAAAAAAAAGGTTGTCCCGTTGTTTCCCCTTTGTAGTTAGAATCTTTGCTGATAAACAGCAGCACAGCTAGATACAGCTTCTCTGTCTGCCTCTCTACACGAGGCTACTAGAGCTTGAGACTTCTGGATGTCTGTCCTAGGCCTGCTGCTGTTGGCTTTGCTGCTTCCCCTGCCTATGTGCTCAGGCCTTTTGCCCATCCTTCCGTACTCATTAAAAGGACCTTTTGGACCACTTCATCCACACTGCTCTCCTTTCTTCTTCCAGTTCTTTTACTGTGTATCCTGTGTACCAGAAATTTCATTATTGAATTATAAATTACTTTGTTCACAAATCAGTTTGTGTTTGTGTGTGTGTGTGTGTGTGTGAGAGAGAGAGAGAGAGAGAGAGGGAGAATTTTGAATTCCCATGATTTTAAGTTCTCTATGGGCATGGACTATTTCTCGTATTTTGTTTTCATTCTTCTTCCACAGCATGAGCACAAATAGGTACTTCTGTGTGTAGTACTTGGATAGATAATAAGATCAAAGAAAAGCATCAACCAGGAGTTAGGAATTTATTAGCTTCTAGTAAATACAACAGCAAAAAAAAAAAATCTCTTTTTGCTTTTCGTTTCAAAGAGCAGCACTGAATTGTAGAAAAGAGATGAAGTTCCTCTGAATCGGTAGGCTTTCAAGGGAGAGCATTAGGTCCTGTTACAAAAGCAGTGCTGGCCCTCGGAAACAGGTGTGGCATCCTTGCGTGTCAGCCCTAGTGTGACAGATGAGAAAATAAAGATATTTGATTCTCTAAGTTGCCCCAAGTTACCATTTAAAAAATGCCTGGGAGCGTAGCTGAGCCGGGAGCCTGGTGGCTACAGCTGCCAAACCGGTTGAGCAGCGCGGCCCGCGCTTGTGGGTGAGAGGGCTCCTTATCAGGGTGCTGTCCCAGACCTCTCGGAACAAGCTGTTTGGTAGTGCACGGGAGTCTCTGTGCAAACCGTCCACCGTAACGCACAATTCAAGGTTCATAGTTCCCTCTTTGTTCCTTTGTTAATCACTGACTTCTGACTAGGGGGAGGCGCCTCCCAAATTTGCTAATGCATTCTTTCTGGATAAGGATGACGCACGGATTGTCCTAATAAGGACTTAGATTGAGAAAGCACCGCCCCCTCTGAGGAGATGGGACAAGTCCGAGAGAGGGTGGGCAGTTTCTTTTTTAACTGGAGATGACACAAGCATAAGTCATTTCCTTATTAATCGGTTCAAACCAGTTCTTACAGGAACCGGTGCTGATAAATGCGGGGCTTCTCAGAAGTCATTCATTTTCTCCTCTGGGCCCCGCCGGCTCCCTCTGAGGACTCACTCCTGCTACAAGTGGCTCTTAGTTTCTCCCAGACATGTTCACAGCAGGCAGGGGTTTGCCTACCTTAAGGAGTTGTTTGAAGGAAGGATTTTTATCCACTTGAAAAAGAGTTCACAGGGTTTTGACAACTCTGATTATTGTATTTTGTTCCTCTTTGCATCCAATCTCTGCTATTGAGTCCAGGTGGTAAGTGGATTTTAACTTTTCTTCCCAAATGTATCTTTCTCTTGGCTTCTGTCCCCTGCTGCCAGTGCTGTCCCAGGCATAGGTCCGTCTCTGCAGAAGCCCTTCCAGGAATACCTCGAGGCCCAGCGGCAGAAGCTGCACCACAGGAGCGAGGCGGGTGCGCCCCAGGTGAGAGTCCTGCTGCGGTGGGCGGGAGGGTGCTGGCCGCTTTCCTAAGCAGAAGTCGGGCACTGTGCACCCCGCTGGGAAATGTGCCTGTCTTAAACCAGCCACTTCCTCCCCCAAAGTAGTTACTTTGGGGGGGCACCTTCTAAAGACAAGGGCAGGGCTAATGGAAAGTAATGGTTCTGCTATGTAGAGTGAATCGCTGCCTTGATCTTAAATGATTTACTAGATCCACTTCCCCACTGGATTAAAAAGTTAAAATGTTCCGCATAACAAAGTATTAGACTTGGTGAGGTAACTGCCTGCTCTTTATCTCAGCCATGGGAAAAATGATCTTTTTTTTTTCCTTTAAATAAACCAAGGCTCTGAACACAGCTGCACTTTAAAACTTTAACTTAAACCAATCCTGCCTTTTCTGTAAACATTTCTGTGACAAGGGGAAATGACTAGAAGAGAGTAAGCAGTAACCTGAAATGAGAAACTGGAAGCACAGTTTTTAATGGCCTTATTATAATCTTTCTGTGGCCCTTTGCCGCTGCCCTCAGTTGTCCAAACATGACTTAACATTCATATCTGAAAAGCCACTCCTGCCTGGGTCTTAGTGCAAGCCTGTAATCTCAGCACCCTGGAGGCTGAGGCAGAGGCAGGAGGATCGCCAGCCTGGGCTACATAGTGCATTCATGGCCAATCTGACCTACAGAGTGAGAGGCCCTGCCTCAAAAAACCAAAATAAGCAAAAGGCAGCTCCTAATACTGACTTCACACTACTCAGCAGGTGTCAGCATGGCAACATCAGAGTAGAGCTGAGCCAGAAACCATTCTTAGATCAAAGTAAAAGACGAGACAAATGCACACCCACATCATTCTAAACTGAGACTCTGCGTCCCACAGAGTCGGAGCTTGGCGGCCCCGGGTGAAAAGCCCTGCATGTAGATTTCGGGGTAGCTGGACTTTTCGTTTTTAATTGTGTCAGCTTTATAGGTTAAGGTCTCATTATTTTCCTTACAACAGTATAGGTGATCTCTTTACTGTTAAACTAATGCATCCATTCTCATGTGAATTGTTCTGCTTTTGTTCCCACAGGGAGAAAACTGGCTGTCCTGGATGTTTGAGAAGTTGGTGGTTGTGATGGTGTGTTACTTTGTCCTGTCTATCATTAACTCCATGGCACAGAGTTATGCCAAACGAATTCAGCAGCGGTTGAACTCAGAGGAGAAGACTAAATAAGCAAAAAGCCGTTTTTAACTGCAGCAGTTGTAGTGGATGGGTTCTGCCTTAAATTGGGAGGACTCCACATCAGGAGGGAAAATTCCCTTTTCCAACCGGTATCAATTTTAAAGACGTCCGGAAAGCAGTTTAGGCCCTGTTTTGCACTAACACGCCTTTCCTGAGTGTGTTAAGGTGAGGTGTCCACCTTGGTTAAACCCACCTTGTGTTTCATTAGGCTGGAGTGTGATGTTCAGCCAGAAACTTACCAGAAACTGGCCTTCTGTTACTTTCAAAAGGCCCGTGTGGTACAATTAGAGAATTCCTGCCGCACCAAAAGTTCCTAAGTATGTTAACTATGTCAAGTTTTTAGGCTTGTAACAAATGATTGCTTTGTTTTTCTAAGTCATCAAAATGTATATCAGTTCTATAGATTGGATAAGAGTCTTGCATGTCTATCATGATACAATTTAATATGCCATCCTGCCCAGTCCTTCCCCTTCCACCCTCAGAAAAAGGACATTTTATGATGCATTGCACACCCTCTGGGGAAATTTATCTTTAAATTCTGAGACAGTATAAGGAAAATCTGATTGGTGTCTCATGAATGAGCTAACACCATTTTTTATTCTGTGTATTTAGAATGAAGTCATGAAAAAACTTTATAAAGACATCTTTGATCATTCCAAAATTGTGTCCGTTTTCTTGAGCGTTTTGATTATTTTTTACTTCCATTTGGCTTCTGCCACCTGAATGACAGCCCTGCCAAATCTTCCTACAACCAGAGTCTCTTAACCCTTTATTTTCATGAAGTAAAAGAGACAGCTTTTATTGTGCTGGGATTGGGCAGCCGCACACTGCTAAATGGCACTTGAGATCAGCCTAATTTAGGGATTTCTTGGTTTTTGAGAACAGGAGAGGGGATCGCCTAATACACAAATCTGAACACACCGGAGAGGGCTGGGGCATAGCTCAGCGGTGTCGCACTTGTATGAGCGCCTGGGTTCAGTCCCCACTACCTCAGAAACTCTGGAAAGAGAAATTACTCATTTTTAAAAACTGTACTTTCTCATATATATGTTAATTTTAGTTAGCATGTGGTTTTAACAGGCAAAAGTTTATTTTTATATGTAACCCAGTTTCCTTTCTGTGTTTTATTCTTAATGTGATTTTCCTTTGGGATGTTTCTGATGGAACCTATTCATTTTGTTTCTCTTGGTAGGAAAATAAACAATTTTACTTTTTCCCTTTAGGAAAATTGATACCGATGTTGTGTCAAACTAGAATAGAATTGGGGTTAAATCCCAACAGGTCAGAAATGCTTGGTTTGTTATAGCAAATCCTGCCTGAATGTCTGCCTGTTTTGCCTCCCGTCAAGACATCTCCATGGCCGTACCACCTTGTACCACCTTGTCGGGTAGCTTATCAGACTGATGTTGACTATTGAATCTCATGGCAACAGCAGTCGATGGGCTGTCTGACATTCTGGTATCTTTCATCTGACCATCCATATCCAATGTTCTCATTCAAACATTACCAGCATCATGGTGTAACAAAACCTGTGGTCCTTATGTCTGTTGCCACCTTTGAGTTCCTTTATGCCACGATATTGCAGCAATGTGGAGAGAAGCTTTTATGGGAGATTGGGGCAGTTTCCATGACCACAATGAGATAAATAAAGGATAAGTAACCTGCCACCTGGGTTTGGAAAGGTTATTACTTCCTTAACAACCTTTTGTTTTGTTTTGATTTTTAGGGACTTTCTAGCAGTTGGATTGTTAGCTGACCATACTTGAAAAGCAGCACCCAAATACTTTATTTTAAATAGAGTCACATTAACCAGCATAATATTTTGAAATTCTTCAGGGTTAGGTAAAGTCAGTGTTCCTAAGTCAGCGTCCAGTTGTGTTTCATCTCCTTCACCTGCATTTTATTTGGTGTTTGTCTGAAGGAAGGAAAGAGGAAAGCAAATGTGAACTGTACTATTTGTGCTAAATGTTGGGGCTTTATTGATAAGTTTTTTCAAGGTGGTATATTAGAAAAAGAAAGGGTTTTGTTTCCTAGTCTAAAAGTCTCTGACACAGACCAGTATTCTGTTTCAAATGAGCTTGCTTGGGAAGCCAGTGAGGAGCAGCTTCCCCTCTGCTGAGTCCGGAGCGGTCCGGTGGTTCTCAGAGCTCCTCCCGGGGCAGCTGCATGCCCTTCTGCTCAGGCTCCCTTTCTGCCCTTCTCCCGTTCATGATCTCAAAGATGCACCTTCAGATTGCAGCTGATGAGAAGCCAGAAAACTTGCAAGTGGCTGGTTTGATACTACTGTAAATAAAAAGAGGGGTTGGGAATTCTCTTGATTCTATCTGCTTCTGTAAGTCTCATTCTCTTCCTTACATATCTGTGGTATTTTATCATGTCCCCACTCAGTGACTGTCCAGAGCAGTTCAATACACCAGCAGAGGGTTGGGTTTAGTTCTTTGAGACAGGGTCTTGTGTAGTTCAGGTTGGCCTTGCACTCACTTTGTAGCCAGGCTGGCCTCAAACTCCCAGCGATCCTCCTGCCTCAGCGGTTTATACACTTTGGCACTGACATGGAAAGGGCGTAGTGTCCCCTTTCCCATAGTTTTCTGTACCCTTGTTTGTGGATACATAATGTGGAGTGCGGGGCTTAGAGGAAAGATATTTTTACTTTCATTTAGATAGTGGCCACCTATTCCCTTTCCAAGAATCCGGAAAAAGTCAAGGCTGAAATGAAGCTTGTATTTTTGTTTTTGAGGCAGGGTCCAGGCTGCTCTTGAACTAACTGTATAGCACAAGTTGGCCTGGAACTCAAAGGTGCTGGGACCACAGGCATGCACCACCACACCCTGCTGAAATGAAGCTCTTAAATAACTAGTTACTGAAGTTGATATGGCGGTGGATGCGCCTCCCCAGTCTCAGGCTCTGTCCCAATGTGTTCTGCTGCCTGTATTAGGACGGCATGCGGCATCTGTGCCACTAGTCACACAACAGTGACACTGAGAAGAACCCAGCTGAGCTAAATGACAAACCGCCTCCTGTACTGTGGGATGGATTTGGATTGACCTGTGTAAGGAGCCCGCAGAGATTCCTAACTATGATGATTAAAGCTTTTCCTTTTTTTTTTTTTTTTTTTTTTAAAGCAGGGATCGAACTTGGGACCTTGTGCTTGAGAGGTAGGCAGCAGCACCACTGAGCTAAATCTCCGGCCCTTTTCCATATATTTTGAAAGCTGTTGCCTTTAGGTGCAGTCATCTTAGTGGCAATGTAGGTCTCTGCCATGTACCTAAGATGTTCTTACCGAGCATAGATGTCTTCTATGCCCAGATACATAGATTGCCTAAGGAATAAATGGGTAATGTGTAAAAGACAGGCACAGTGATGCTCATCTGTAGTCCCAGCTACTAGAGGCACAGGCAGGAGAGAAATTCAGAGGCTGGTCTCAGCAACTTGGGGAGACATTTTTCTCAAAAAGCTAGAGACATAGCTCCGCTCTAGAGCATTTGCCTGGCATGTATAAGGTCCTGGGTTCATTTCTCACATGCCAAGCCATGCTGCCACTGTGCTATACCCCCGACCCTGGAGGGGTTTTTTTGTTTTTTATTTTTGTGGTCCTGGGGATCAAATCAAGGCACTTTTAAAGATTTTATTTTGAGATCTTGCTAAGATTCCCAGGCTGGCCTCCAGTTTGAGCTCATCCTGCGTGGCTGGGATTACAGGTATTTACCACCATGTCTGCTTGTCCTTGGATCCATAAAGAAGCAGAAATTACTGAGTGATTTGATTCATAAGGCCAAAACCACATTTAGATTAAAAATAAGCCCTCAAGTGTCCCACTTAAAACAATGTACAAAGAATAGATGCACAAAATTTGGTGTGAAATCATTAAAAATACTTTTTTAAACTTTCCACCCTAAATTGTTGTTTATAATTCCTTTTCATTATATAGTATGTTAGTGGTTGGAAATATCACACTGTACCCTATAAACAAATACAATTTTGTTATCAATTAAATTTTTTGTCTTTGGTTGAGACAGGGCCTCACTTTGTAGTCTAGGCTGGCCTTGAAGTCTTGGCAATCCTGCCTCAGTCTCTGAAGTGTTGAGATTACAGGTGTGCACTACACACATGGCTGTCAGTTAAAATTTTTAAAAAATAAACTGGGCTTTGTGGCATATAACTAATCCCAGCACTCCAGAGGCTGAGGCAGGAAGCTAATGAAATACATAGGGAGTTTGAGGCCAGCGTGGACTAGATAGCAAGACTGTCTCAAATAAATGAAGTGCAGTGGTACAGACCTATTGTCCCAGCTGCTTGTGAGGTTGAGGCAAGAAGATTCTTTGGGCCTGGGAATTGGAGACCAGCCTGGCAACAACATAGCAAGACCCTACCTTAAAAAAAGTTTAGAGTTAGTTACAGGGCTGGGGATTTAGCTCAGTGATTCTGCCGCCTGCCTCGCAAGTGAAAGGTCCCAGGTTTGATCCCCAGTACCAAAAAAAGTGTGTTAGGATGGTGGTGTACACCTATAATAGCCTCTCGGGAGGCTGAGGCAGAAAGATCAAAAGTTTGAACCCAGCCTGGGCAACATAGTGAGACCCCCATCTTAAAGAAGAATGTTAGTACTGGAAGGTAGTAAGGAGAAAGAAAATATTAACTTTTCCCTTTTTTTTTTTTTTTTTTTGGTAGCAGGGATCAAACTCGGGACCTTGCACTTGCAAGGCAGGTGGTGGAACCACTGAGCTAAATCCCTGGCCCTGTTTTTTTTGAGACAGGGTCTCACTAGTTCAGGTTGGCCTTGAACTCACTATGTAGCCCAGTCTGGCCTTAAACTTGTAGTCCTCCTGCCTCAGCTTCCTGAGGATTACAGGTATGCTCCACCACACTGGTGTGGAATGTCAGTTTTTAATCCTTATTAGAAAAAGATACATGTAGCATATCCAGTCAAGTTGCTGGGTAAGTAGGTTTTAAACCATAAAATTTGTTTGATATCAAGGCATACAAAATCTCCCTCAATCCCAAAAGTCTCCATTCTGTTAGAAAGTAAACCCCAAAGGCTGGGGATTTAGCTCAGTGGTCCGCCTGCCTCAAAAGTGCAAGTTCCTAAGTTTGATCCCTGGTACCAAAAAGAAAAAGTAAACCCCAAAATTGGTGTACTTTATCCATAAATAATTTGTTGTTTTTAGTACACTACTAAGATTATCCTAATTGGACTTTATAGCAGTTTTTGAAAGCTAACATTTCATCTTTAACGTTGATCAGAGCTGTGAAATTTAAAAACATTGGTGATACACTACACAAAACAGCTGCCATCTGAAGAGCTGACCCTTTATTCTCAGACAAGAAGAACATAATGTACTTTAAACTCTGCATGCGATTGAGTCAGTGGTGTCTGTAGACAAGGGCTTGGTTCCTCTCTCCCCAGCAAGGCCAAGAGTTCACCTGAGGTAATATGTTTGCCTTGGAGGTGAGGCCCTGAATTGTGGCACAAGCCTCTGTGTATTTGCATGCTCGCCCAGTGCCCGGGGTTTTACGGAAACCTGTTCAGGACAGCTGCTTACTCACTGCCCTCAAATTGTGCGGCACAGGGAGCGTCCGGTGCCAACTCCTCACTCACACTCTGACCCCCCACCCCACACCCCCAGTCCTGGTGCAGTTGTGTGGGTGTTGCTACTACTAAATGGAAAGGGAGAGAATCCTTGTAGATGGCCCCTGCTCTCCACCCAAACCTCCTGGCCTCCTTTGTGATCTGGGATTCTAATTCTGCAGTCAGGAGACTGGCCCTCGGCGGCCCAGAGTGAGTCATTTGCAAGTGGCTGGCTGACTGGATGGGAACAGAAATGAAATGCAGCTTAGAGAGTTTGTCAGCCAAATCCACAAATGTGTGGCTTTTTGAAACATTGGACATCTGTTCCTCTTAATTTAAAGTAAACTTTTTTACAAAACACAGAGTTGCTTGGCTCCTTGTTTCTTCGTGTCAGCAACAGTTACTGGGCTGACAGAAAGCTCGAGTCAGGTTCGAGAACTGGGGTTGCTTTCAAAAGGCATGCTGCAGCCTGGAGGGGACCTGGCTGGCTTCAGGAAGGGAAGAGGGTTTTATCAGGCAGGGTTTGTGTGGAAATCCCCTTCCTGGGTAATGAGCCCAGGTGTCCAACCTGTTTGTTAACCATTTCCCAGATGACTCAAGGGACTTGGAAATGACTTAATGAATGAATGCACTCCGGCAGGGGTCCCTCAATCTAGCTTTGATTTGCATTGGAAATCACATTCCAGAATTCTGAAGGGGGAGGCCCCGCTTCCCCTAGGCGTGTTTGACGTTACCTTGCTCGACCTAGTACGCAAGCCACAGTCAGAGCCTTCTCAGTTCCTGCCGCCCTCTGAGCCCTTTACCCAAGCCTCGGGAGGAAGAGCCTCCTTCAGTCAGGGCGACCTTTCTGAGCCACTGTTCTAGGCCACCCCAGTCCCACATGGGGCACTTCCCTTTGTTGCCGTCTGTCCCCTGGTGGGGGACAGAACATGAACAGCTTTTTCCTTCAGGCTGCTTTTGACCGGCTCTGATAGTGTTGCTTAATCCGATGGCAGGAGCTGTTCTGGGGGTGTGAGGCAGTTAGGGACTCGAGACCAGGGTGGTTCTGCCCTCCCCTGAGGTGGGGAGTTACAGGCTGTCCATGGCCTCCTGCCTTTGGCTCCTCACCTCGTGATGGAAACAAAAAGCTGCTCAGGTTCACTCCTCTTGGCAAGAGTGCTGAAGTCTGGCTCACCAGAAAAATCATGTTTTTCTCAACTTTTATTTTCCCTTCAGTGCTGGGGAGCAAACCCAGGGCCTCCATGTTAGGCCATGTTAAGCCCTCCACTCTGCACTGAGGTGCACCTCAGGCCTGCCTTGATTTCAGGGTTCCACAGTTAAGTCAGGACCTCGCCCACCTCTCTTCTGGGCCCCTCAAGCTGCTCTGTGCTGTCCACTGTGCCAGCCCTTCCCAGTCCTGTAGCCCCTCTTTGGACACAAGCACCCTCAATGCTGACCATCAAGACTGGCTCCCCGCCACAGGGTGTGGGGACCCAGGCTTGTGATCCCAGCTGCTCAGGAGGGAGAGGGAAGAGGGCCATATGTTTAAGTTAACGAGCTGGGGATGTAGCTCAGTGGTAGAGCACTTGCCTAGCGTGCATGAAGGCCCTGGGTTCAATCCCCAGCAGTGCAAAAAAGAAAAAGATCAACTCTCAAAAACGTCTAGTAGGCTCTGTACCCGGAAGCACAGTGGATTACTCTAACTTTGATAATGATTGCTTGCTTTGTACCAGGCACCATTTTCAGTGATGCATTGTACTTAATCTTTTAATCCTAACAAAAACCCCAGGAGCACGTCAAGGCCAAGAGGTTCACCAATCTGGGGTGGGGAGGCAATGGACCAGGAAGTGGACCAGCCGAGGCCCTGGCGTTATGGCTGTTAGTCACCCTGTTCTGTGGAAATCAGTGCCAAAGTCCAGGCTTCAGCATGTTTGTGATCACAAAGTAGTTGATGGAGAAAGGAAAGCAACAGAAAATCAAGACCACAGCCTGAAACCTTGGGCAGTCTTTTTGTGCCTCGTGTCAAAGGGCTGGGACAGCTGTGTGGGCTCCACTTACACCTGTGATTACAAAGCACTTGCTCTTTGTAGGTCTTTTTCACTCTCACATAACTTTCACGTCCGGAGGTTTCTGGGTTTTTTTCTTTTTAATTTTTACTTTATTTTCTTTTTGGTACCAGGGATTGAACTCAGGACCTCATGCACGGTGCCACTGAGCTACATCCCTGGCCCCTTCTGTTTGTTTTATCTTCATATCAACTCTTTGAAATCATTAAGGCCATTCATGACATTAGCCACATTTAAAAAAAAATCTATTAGGGCCGGGGATTTAGCTCAGTGGTTTTGCCGCCTGCTGTGTAAGTGCAAGGACCCGAGTTCGATCCCCGGTACCCCCCCCCCCAAATCTATTCACTGTTTAAGTCTTGACTGGTGTGAGAAACTCAAGCATTTCAGGCATGATCTCTGTCCCCCAGGGGTCGAAGTCTTGGGGCATCCTCAAAGATAACGTCCATGTACAGTGGGAGGAATGCGTAAGAAAGGAATTGCAGGGCCAGGGATTTAGCTCAGTGGTTTTGCCACCTGCTGCGCAAGCACAAGGACCTGAGTTCGATCCCCGGTACCAAAAAAAAAAAGAAAGGAATTGCAGAGGAACAAAATCCAGAGTAGAGGGGATCAGAAAACATTTCCTGGGGATCAGCATTATGGAAAGAGGCAACATTCTAACTAGAGAACCCCAGGGAAGTAAGATAGGGATGCTACATGTAGGGCCGAGAGAAAAGGCAAGAAAGACTAATGCCCACCTATCTTTTTCCCTTCCTTTTTTGGTGTTTGTTTTGTTTTTTGTAGTTCAGGCTGGCCTTGAACTCTTGGCGAACCTCCTGCCTCAGCCTCCCCATTGCTGGGATTACAAAAGAACACCTCTATGCCTGGCTCACCTCAGTTACACTTTGCCTTAGCTCTCTCTTGTTTCCTTCAAAGTACCTACCTAATTCACCAGTAGTTTGTTGGGGTTTTGGGGGGGCGTTTTTGGTACCGGGATCCAACTCAAGACCTTGTGCTTGCGATGCAGGTGCGGTGCCACTGAGCTAAATCCCCAGCCCTGTTGGTTTTCTTGTGTTTGGTCTGTTTGCTTCACTACCTCAAATGTCACCCCACAAGGCTCCTTTGTGTGCTCAGACTCAAGCGTGTGGCTGGCACTTGCGAGTCTCACAGCCTGGATGCACAGCATTTGCTGAATGGACATTGCAGGGTCCAGCTGAAGGGGAAACAGGAAGCCAAGGCAGGCAGGAGATGCCCAAGTAGAAGCCAAGGTACCGGGCAAGGCCAGAGTAAGGGAGGTGGAAGAAAAACAAAAGGTCAAAGAAATCAAGTTAAGAACAAATAAGCAAAAAGCTGTAAAGAGAGCAAAGCCAGCACTGGGCCAGGAATGTGAAAGGAGCAAGTGTGAGGAGGAGGCCGTATTCTTACCGTTTTGACACACTCACTGAGAGGCAGAGCCTGTGACAGCTGTAGCTCGGGCTTCCTAACACCTCGACACCTAGCACACATGCTGTCCACAGACTGTGCCTAACTCCAGTTGTGGATAAGCTGGACCTTGCCAGAGAATCTTCTAGATAGTACGTTCTTTGTATGTAACTTTTTTCCTGGTATTTTTGAGACAGGTTCTCATTATTTAGCTCAGGCTGGTCTTGGACTCACTGTGTAGCCCAGGCTGGCCTCAAACTCATGGCAATCCTCCTGCCTCAGCCTCCTGATTGGGTTACAAGCGTGCCACTGCGCCTGGTTTGTAGCTTGTTATATAGCATTGAGGTTGAGGGGATGGCACTGAGACTGGGCCTTGGCGTCACAGGAAACTTAAAATTCCTCTCCCCGGTTGCATCCTGCCGGCTTAGCCAGTGGCTCCGCCCTGGGAGACTGGCAGCTTGGTGATTCCTGGATAGATTGTCTTTATAAGGAGAAAAGTCTGACACTGTGGTTTCCTGTGTTTCTCCTGGAGTCTAGGATTCTCGCGGTGCTCGCCTAGAGCCCAGATCTCAGGAGCGTGCCCAAGGTGGCATCTGCCAAGCCAAGGGCAGGGCCTGGCTGCTTCACCTCCAAGAGCGAGTGTGTGCCCGGCTGCTCCCATCCGGCGCTCTGCGGCTGCGCTGTTTACGGTTAAGGGAGTGAGTTACTGCTTACTGAGCTCGGCGCAGACCTCAGAAACACGACCTCTGACCACAGTGCCCCACGCTGCCAGGCCTGTGGTGAGGAGTGGTCTGACTCGGCTGTCCCCTCCCGGGGTCTGGGGCGGCGCTGGCCCTGGTGTCCCATGGACTCGGGCATAATTCCATGCCTCCCTGGGTAAAGATGGAGATAAGAGTGCTTTGCACAATTTCAGAAAGAAAAACGGGGAGGCTGAATAACAGTTTTTAGAAAAAATGTACAGATCAAAGAAGTTTTCAGATGGTCCACATTTTCTTCTTCAAAAGAATCTGTTAGAACATAAAAGATATCCCAGGGCTCTACAGGAGGAAATAAGTTCTTTCATACACAAGTTCTCCTATTTTTTCATATATCTCTCTCATTTCTACAGATTGCTCCAAGACTCTTCTTTCTCTGCCCCCTCCCTTCCTTTTTTTTGCTTTTCTTTTCTTTCTTACTGGGGATGGAACCCAGGGCCTTTGCACTGACCTACACCCTCAGCCCTTTTTTAAATTTTGAGACAGGGTCTCACCAAGTTGCTTAATTTCCCAGGCTGCCCTCAAACTCTTGTTCCTCCTCCCTCAGCCTCCCGGGGCACTAGGATGATAGGTGTGTACTGCCACACCGGGCTGATTTGGTGGTATATTTACTAGTTTTCTTGAGGACAGGCTGTATTTACAGTAAGACTCTAAAGTTCTCTCTTAACTTTTCCCTTTTTCCTCTGCCTCCTGGAAATACCTGGGGGATCCTATAGTTCCTACACTTGTTTCATGTGATAGTTTACAGAAAAAAGATGGTTCTTAGCCCCTTCCATCCCTTGTTACTGCTGTCTTGCTCAACAGACTTATGCCTTCATTCTTCAAGCTGTTTCCAGATGAATGTGTCATACTATAATCCCAGCTACTAGGGAGCCCGAGACAGGAAGGATTACAAGTTTGAGTCTTGCTTGGGCAGCTTAGCAAGACCCTGTCTCAAAATATAGAATGGAGGCCGGGGATTTAGCTCAGTGGTTCTGTCACCTGCCTCGCAAATGCAAGGTCCTGAGTTTGATTCCTGGTAACCCCCCCAAATATATATATAATGGCTGAGACTGGAGCTCAACATTGGGCCAAGGGCCAGGGATTTAGCTCAGTGGTTTCGCTGCCTGCTGCGCAAGCGCAAGGACCCGAGTTTGATCCCCGGTACCAAAAAAAAACCAAAAAACTTAAACATTGGGCCAGGGGTTTAGCTCAGTGGTTCTGCTTCCTGCCTTGCAAGCGGAAGGACCTGAGTTCGATCTCCGGTACCAAAAAAAAAAAAAGAAGAAGAAGAATGGAGCTACACACACCCCACGTTCAATCCCTAGTACTCCCAAGTAAATAATTAAACTAAAAGGCAAAGTAAAAGGAGCTCCTCTGAGAAACTGACTCTGGTGTGTGTCCTGACCGGCTCCACAGTGCTCTGCCGCCTCATTCTTGCTCTCGGGGACCTGGTGCTCAGGACAAAGCACAGGGCCATGGTAGACCGCTTCTTCGCCAAAGCAAATTCCCTTTTCTTCCTGAAGGAAACGGAACCTCATCTTAGCCAAATCCACTCCTTCCATAATGACGTCTAACAGCCACCCCGAGTGCCTTGGCTGCTGTGGCAACTGCAGAGGGAACAGCGGGGACAGGGGAATGGCCACATCTTACAAGGCTTTGGATTCCAGGACAGGAGTTTGGGTTTCAGGCAAGGGCTTGCAAGTGAAGCCAATTCTTGGCTTTTTTTTTTTTGGTACCAGGGATCAAACTCGGGACCTTGTGCTTGCGAGGCAGGCAGTGGAACCACTGAGCTAAATCCCGGCCCTGTGAAGGCAATTCTTCATTCTTTTCATGTACAGTAGTATTTCTTTTCTCCCCAGTAGTGTGGTTCAGACTCAGGGGCATTCTATTACTGAGCTACATTCCCAGCCCTTTTTATTTTCAGACAGGGTCTTGCTAAATTGTCCAAGAAGCATTTGAAGTTTCAATCTTCCCGCCTCAACCTCCCTCAGTGCTGGGACTACAGCAGTGTGCCACTGTGCCCAGCTAATACGTTGCCTTGAATGGCTTTTAATTATGTCAGATGGCCAGGCATGGTGCCACAGCCTGTAATCCCGGCTCTTGGGAGGCTGAGGCAGGAGGATCATTGCGAGTTTGAGGCCAGCCTGGGCTACTTAATGAGACCTTCTTCCCCACCCCCCCAAAAAGGATTCCCTAAGATGATTTCATTTCTATTTTCAATATTGAAATTTCATCTAATGGCTGTGATCTATTGCTAATAATCCAATCTTTAATGGGCTTCACTGTGTACCTGTAGTTTCTTTTTTCTTTTTCCCAGTACCAGGGATCAAATTCAGGACCTTGTGCTTGCCAGGCAGGCGCAGTGCCACTGAGCTACATCCCTGGGTCTGTGCCTGTAGTTTGAAGGCTTTCTATCTCTCCCAGAGTTTTAAACATTTGTGCTAATCTGTGCAGTAAATGTGGAGTCTCTCCCATGAGCTGGGCATGGACTTGGCAGCAGAATACACCAGGTGGCGAACTCAACAGGATAGGCCAGGCTCAGCTCCTTTGTGTCACCCTGTCTTAGCACCATGTCTTTCCCTGCAGATGTTCAGTGGGTGTGTGTGGAAGTAAAGTCACTTCCTGCCTCTTGCATACTGATCTCATGAGTCCACCTGAAGCAAAGGCCTCTTTTTCAAAACGGAAATGGCCTCCCTGTGCTGTGTCATGTTTCTCACTATCATGTTCCCAAGCACTCTCACCCAGCAAGGAGTTTTAACCCCAATTTCTACAGTTCACAGGACTTTTGTTTCTGAAATGTCTAGATAGATTTATATTGTAAAGTGCATATCTGAGTTTGAACATTTTAGTAGCTTATATTTAAAAGTAAAAAGAAGCAGATGAGATTGCTTTGAATAGGGTGGATATGGTGGTGTATGCCTGTAATCCTAGGACTCTAGGAGGCTGAAGCAGGAAGATCCTAAGTTCAAGCCCAGCCTGGGCAACTTGAGCAGGACCTGTTATCAAAATTTAAAAATAAAAAATATAAGGGCTGGGGATGTAGCTCAGACCAAATGCTGTGGGTTTAATCCCCAGAACCACACAAAAATAAAAAAGGGCTGGGATGTACCTCAGTGTGATGGCCCTGGGTTCAATTCCCTAGTAATGCAAACAAAAAAACAAACAGAAAGGGGGACAGCTCACCGAAAGACCCGAGGTTCAATCCCCAGCACCACTAAAAAAATTAGTTTGAGAAGCTGGGCATGGTGGTACATGCCTGTAATCTCAGCATTCAGGAGGCTGAGATGGGAGGAACACTGAGAGTTCAAGACCAGCCTGGGCTACTTAGTGAGTTCAAGGCCAGCCTGGGCTACATAGCAAAACCATGTCTCAAAAAACCAATAAAGAAATTTTAAAAAATAATAAATTTAACCTAATATGTCAAAAATTCCAATAATTAGTATTGTTTATATTGTCCCCTTGGGCCGGGGATTTAGCTCAGTGGTTCTGCCACCTGCCTTGAAAGCACAAGGTCCCGAGTTCAATCCCTGCTACCAAAAAAATAAAACACACAAAGATATATTGCCCCCTCTTCCCTCCCCATGCTGGGGACCAAACACAGGGTCTTGTCCACACTAGGCCAGCGCTCTGCCTGACTACACCCTGCCCAAGACCATAAAGCCCCGTGTGTAGTTCCCAAGCACAGCAACATGGCCAACGGCTGCCTTTCTGAACACCATGGGTAGAGAATCTTTACATGATGGGTACTTACTCACCACAACTTAATTGAATCCACACAGGACAAGAAAGCCACAAGGCATCCATCCTACTGGCTCTGTCATTAGCGAAGGAAAGAAATTCCAGTAAGACAGAATTCCGTTTTTTTTTTTGGTACTGGGGATTGAACTCAGGACCTTGCACTTTTGAGGCAGGCGCAGTGCCACTGAGCTAAATCCCTGGCCCAAGACAGAATTACTTGACAGATGTAATGTGGCTTTTCTTTTTTTTCTTCCTATTTTTCCAGCTCATTAGCTGTTCTTAGATATTCACATTATATAAAGCCTATAGTTCAAAAACCATCCAGTTTTCTTGTAAGTTATCAGCAGTTCTTCTGGGGCATTATGAGTTCCTCTTTCCTTTTCATCTCTTCCTGTTCCGCTGACTCCCTGGAGTCTAAATGATTAGGACTTTCTTTTCCCCCCCTTTTCCATAGCTTGAGTTCCATAATTCTCTCCTATCCTGAAAGGACAGTGCATTTCCCAGAAACTTGAAATATTTATTTCGTTTAACTCCTGTGTGAGGAGGGTAGGGTTCCTGGTTCCAGAAGTGGGGTTCCATGGCATTGTATCACCCAAGGCATCTCAGTGTGTAGGAGTCGGAAGTTATTAAATCACAAATAGAAAGCCAGGTTTTTAAGCTCACATACCTAAAACTCACAGGGGAAAAATGGGATGCAGATGAGAAAGTATCTCTTAAAATAAATAATTGTTAGGGGCCAGGGATTTAGCTCGGTGGTTCCACTGCCTGCCTCGAAAGTGCAAGGATCTGAGTTTGATCCCTGGTACCCAAAAAAATTTTTTTAAAATAATAAATAAATAAATAATTGCCAAAAATGACAAGTCAATGGATAAAGCCATACTTGGTACATAGGTGACAGAACAAGACAGGGTTGGTTTCCAAACTCGAGCTCAGGGAGAGAGAACAGGGAATAAGCAAATAGAGTGTGTTTAAAACAAAACACTGGACAAGCATCCCAGTGTGAGAAACATGGTGTCGGAAGACTGACAGGTATCCACACTGTGAAGTGAGTCTACAGTCGGCGAGAAGGTGTTTCAACATTTAAAGCCCACACTGGGGCTCCCCAGGCATTTTTCTTTCTTGGACCATGTTTTTGTTTCTTTTTTCACCTAGTACTGGAATCCAGGGAGCACTGAGCTACATCTTCAGACCTACTTTAGTTTTATTTGATGTTATTTTATTCTGCAGTGCTGGGGATCAAATCCAGGGCCTCATGCATGCTAGGCAAGTGGGCTACCAACTGAACTACACCCCAGCCCTTTCTATTTTCAGACAAGGTGTTGCTAAATTGTCTAGTTTGGCCCCAAATTTATGATCCTCCTGCCTCAGCCTCCCAGAGTGCTGGGATTACAGGTGTG